GCATACGAGAAAAACTTTGTTGACCAGGAACCGTCAGTGGCTCAAAAATAAATAGGGCCTGGAATATGTGAGGGAGAAAGTAGCAGGGGTAAAAAAAACACCTGTCCTCCGTTGCATAGTTACTTAAGTATTTTCTCTAACAGTAGTGGAGAGTCTACATGGGTATTATCAGTTTGTAGAGGATTTCCCTTCATAACCATGCTCTATATCTCCTGGACATACGGTGATTAAAAAATACAAATATGTAAGAGATTAAGTGTTTAAAGGATCGAAAATCGTTCATATCTCTACTGGTGGACTTAATTTACTTAACCGAATACCTACTAACGTAACAGAGTAGAGCATTACTGTCGTCGTTTTAATTATATACATGTCATTTGTATATTTGTTTATGTTTATAGCTATGTACAGTGTGTATATATAGTTTAATGTGGAAAATAAAACCAATCAACAAGAAATCATTACAGAATTATTTATTTATGATTCTATTTCCTTTGTTAAGAACAAAACGTGGCAGAATATTACGTCCACCAACTTTTGTATCCAGTTATAATGCATTATATTTGCTTTTCACATTTAAAAGATTTCCTTCTGTAATTTGATATTTCATATATTCTACTCTCTCTCTCTCTCTCTCTCTTTCTCTCTCTCTCCTCTCCCCTCCTCTGAAATAATAAACCCTGTGGTCAATTCCAAGTTCTTGTTAAAGCGAGCTGTTTACTGGATATTAATAATCTCCCTTAATTACTTAACCTTTAAACATAATCAACTAATTTGCCAAAGATCCTATCAATTTAAATTTCAGAAAAGTTTCTCATCGGATCGGATTGATATTCTCTAAATGATCGCAAATTACTAGATTATGGATTAATACTATGCATGAAATTTCCTGCCAGATATGTATATATAAATATATAATGTCATTAGAAACTCTTTGTATGCATGTCTTCTAAAGTAGGACAAATTGAATAATTATGTATATTAATGCAGATACGTACACTGGTAATTGTGGATATGAAATTGTGTCAACTGTTGCATCCGCCCACCTATTGGGCAATTATAGGCCCAACTTTTTCGTTAAGAATGTAGTTAAAATCTAAAAATTGTTAGGAAAAACATCAACCGAGGTAATCATCAAACTGCTCCAAAGTTTTCTAGTAAATAAATGAAAATTGAAAGCTATTTAAAATTATTGTTCCATTTGCTAATCTTACTTGATGGAAGTTAATGGTATCTCTAACAAAAATTCTGGGTAAAAATGTGTCATGCGGGTAATAATGTATCCACCCACCTGAAAGCATTTTGAAACCAGCTTGGCTTATATTTCCCCATTGTTTTGTTATCATTCTAAATTTTGACCTTAATTGGATAATATATTTCTCAGGTTAGGTAAAGACAATGCCCAGAGTTAACCTCGAGCAAAGCAAACTTTTACCCAATATTTTCAAGAGTGAAGGACAAATTCCTGTAAACCTGAATTATTGCACCGTGAAAAGACAAGGCGCAATGGTTGTTGCACATAGTACGTTTGGTAATATGTTCTGTTCGTAATTAAATGTTAAAAGCATTCGGAAATATCTCCACATGCTGCTTCATGCCACAATATTTGCCGTTCTACCCTTCGATGGCATCCCTGGACTTTCAAATCATTCGAGGATACATTTCCGGAAGTTTTCAGCAGGCCGAAGGTTCAAAACACTTTAAAGACAGTGGGCTCCGTCAGAGGTAGAAACACAATTTACATAATCAGCTCCTTAGTTTATTTTTAAAGCCACGCCACCACAATAAATCACTACAAGGAAAATAAAGTCGAGGTATTTTTGTCATAATTTTAATAAACACATACAACCTTCATGTGTCATACACACCGCTGGTTTGAAAAGATATAGCACACTAAAATGATTTCATAGACATGTATAACATGTTACAGGAGGTTACAATATTCATTATCAAAGTAATATTTAGAGCAGTACCTATTAATGAGATAGTACTATGATTCTGACAACATATGAAAATAAGTAGAAGTAGCATGATTCCATGTCAAACGTTTTAAGATGTGAAATGCATGACTTAGAAGGGTCTTACATAAAACACATCAGAGTTTAAATAGTGATTAATGAAGCCATATTAATTCGCTTAGAACGGAGTATGTTACTCACTAGACGATCACTTTGTAATATTAAGAGGAGTACCTGTAAATGTGATATTATTATGATTCTGACAACAAATGAAAATAGAAACTGCATACCATATAGTTTAAATGATCCCATGTCAAACGTTTGAGAAGTGAAAAGCATGCCATAGAAGGATCTTAAACACCAACACAAGTCAATGTGACTGATGAAGCCAGGTTGATTCTCATTAAATGGATTATATATCTCATTTGATTATGCAAAAACATATTTGCATTATAGAAGGTCCATTCCAAGTGTTACAGAATGACAATTCAAGAGAATTTTGAGGAAAAAATTAATCTTTATTTGAAATTATATTAACAGTCCACATTAAGTAATTTGAAGTACTTTCAGGTTTGGAGTTTCCCATAAACCATTCATCAAATTTATGAAATAATAATATATTGAATTATATATAGGTTTGTTTTGGAAGGATATTTTTTGTCAATTTTTATTTAAATATCTATAATATTCATATTTTTTAAATCAAAATTTCTCTGGAAATGTCATTCCGTAATGCTTGGAATTGTCCGAACGTGGTTGGGATAGCACATCACAAGTGAGATTACATCGTCTTCACCATTGCTTATTCACCACACCGATCAGGCTATTATGGTTATCCTTCGTATGCCATGCTCTGTACAATGCACAGTATTAAGCCCTGTCTGGAATTCTGCCATTCATTATGGATCACCATAATATAGTCAGTCTCCTGGTAGTCGTGAAAGCACTGAAAATATTCTCCCTTTTTTTTTTATCTTCTCCGTAACTTCCTTTTCCCCTTTCTGTATCATTTAATCTCGCACCTGTCCCTTGTTATATAAGAAACATTAAAAAATGATACCTAATCAAAGAAACCATCATATTCTTGATAAACTGAAAGAAAGTTCTTAGAATGATACTACTCGAAGACTGATTTCTTAGTATTCGGGGCCGGTCCCATTTCACCGATAATGATAATTTAAATCTGTTTCCTGCTGTTGATGTGGAAAAGTATTGGATCTGAGAAGATCGATGTCGAGGGCTCATTAGTGCAAGAGGGTTCGCAATGCCAGTATCAAATACCTTTTTCCACGTAAACTTCAGGAGACCTATTTTAGACGCCAATGTTATCATTATCAGTGATATGGGACCTCCCCTTATACCTAGATGTAAAAAGTACAATTTGGCCAACTTCCTTGACACCTGTTCTCTACAGGACAATAGGGAATTTTAGATTCTGCACGACGAGAACGCGGACTGCCCTTTTAAGGCAATGTGACGTCACTGCCAGTGCCTTAAAGGACGTCACATGGCCTTAAAAGGGCAGTTCATGTTCCCGTCGTGCAGAATCTAAAAGTCCCTAATGACATTAAACCGGAACCCCTAATTGATAAAGTAATATCACATGAACATTATCGAAATTATCTCATGCAATCATTGGGCGAAAGTATGAATTTGGTTACATAACATGGATGAGGATTTGTCATTAGGCCCACTAAGACCCGACATGTATATCTATATGCCCCAGCAAAACCAGCATTAAATATTGCAGCTGCTACATGCAGTCATATCATGTGCTTCATCCCCCCCCCCCCCCACCCCACCAACAACAAACAGCGAAAAAAAAAATCAATTTCATGTTTCAGTGGCGTTTCAAAAAAATGACAGCTCCAGGATTTCAATATTGAAAGAGGGATTTATGTTATATAGTATTACCATGCCACATCAAAAAAACAATTTGGATTAATTAAAAATTCCGCTAAAGCCTTTAACCATCACTTAATCAAGGGTAAATGTCGAACTGGGCGTGAAGGCAGCCTATAAGATCAGACATTCCATAATTGAAAATCTAATCTCCCTGAAGATTAGTCTCAATATTAGGTGCTCATTAATATGCACTGTCCAACTGTTCCGAGTCCGTCACTCAGCTTTAGTTCAAGAAACAAGCCTTGCAAACGTGTGGAGCTGAACTGTCTGAATTTAAATTTATCTATTTAATTTTTTTTTTATTGGGGACATTTCTTTGACAGATATATCACTTCTCTTAATTGGTTAGAATGGTAAAATTAAAAAGGATAAATTGGACAAAGTTAAACTTTTAAAAAATGTTTGGAAAAACTAAAATCAGACGCACTTTTCAAGGAAATGGCTTTGAGCAATGGTACTTTTTCGCGTCTCTTAATTGATATATTTATGATCTATACCAAAATTAAACCAATAAATACTTAAATCTTAATCATTTCTTCCAAGGCTAATTTTATGAGATGAGGGGTAAGTGAGTGTGAATTTTAACCCACCCCCCCCCCCAAAAAAAAAAGGGTATAACTACGCTTGTTTATACATGATACATCAACATATACAGACAAATCATTATGTTCAACTGTGAATATTTTATAAACTATCATTCTCTTTCATTTTCTTTTCTGTCCAAGATAACAATTCTCTCACAATGTTTGTCTTTGTGCTTTGAAATACCGTGCTTTCTGTGAATACGGGTGTCAAGAGATATTTACATCAATTGGTGTCTTTCGTTTACAGTTCTTCAATCGCTCTTCTCCCATAGAATGATTGGTGTTATTGAGGCAGAGAGAAAGATAAGTGCGTTAGAACATTCATCTTATCCGTTCAAATGATCCACTGTGAGATTTTCTATCGATTTAAAACGCCAGTGATTTTTCTTTTTCAGAAAAGTGTGCACGGTTGAATCGAGTAGCATTGCCAAAACTTTCTTCAGTCTTCGCGATGAGCAGAGGAAAATGGACTCCTTTGAGCATGCTGACCTATTTAAAGGAAAACGCAAGTCTAGGACCATTCTTTCTTGCAGTGACGAACGTTAACTTTGTTGAAGACGTGGCTACTTTTATGTACATGGTGATATGTGAAGTTATAACGTGTATGGCAAGCGAACGGCACGGGTCGAGCTTTTCAACAGCAACAAATAAAGTTTGAAGTAAGTCCAGGTCTTGTTCTGGGCTAGGCACCATGTATAAGCATGCAGGGCTATACATGGCCTGAGTGCGAGAAATAATGGTGACCATGCATGTGCGTAAACATAGGCGAGCCCATGACGTATGGCATAGCTGCTCCAGCGGCGTGTAAGGGCGAGTGATACGTCAGATGCGAGCCGTACATGAGTCCGGAGCCGTAGGCAGCGGCGTGGAGGCCTGCTGCCGAAAGAGGTGGCGAGGGATGAGTGGCAGTCACAGACGTCGTCGTAGGCGCGTTGGGGTCCATACCCGGGTTCTGCTTCTTCCATTTCGTACGTCGGTTTTGAAACCAGATCTTTACCTGTGTTTCTGTCAGGCTCAGTGACAGTGCGAGATTGAGACGCTCACAAACGCTGAGGTATCGCGTCGTTTTGAATTTGTTCTCCAACGCCACTAGCTGTTCGTATGTAAAAGCAGTTCTGGCCCTTCGGGGCTTGCTAGACTTGGCATTGTTGTTACTGTCACTGTCCGATCTCTTCCTCTTTTTGCCTGGAACGTCATCATCCTTATCATCGCACTCATCGTCACTCACACGATCGTCCAGATCATGGTCTTTGATGTCCCGATCGTCGTCGAGATGACTGCCATCGTCGTCGTCATGTTCATTGATGTCGATGTGATCTGTTGGTGGCGACATTGAATCTTTGATATGATCGTCGACGAGGGAGTGGTCAGAATCTGAAAAGAATCCAAAAATGAACAGTCTCATTAAAATTGAGAACATTAAGAAATATACGAAACCATTGAATAAAATACCAACATTGAAAACAGATTTGTGCAGGCAATACTAAGATACACTAAATGAAAAAGGTATGCTTTGCGCGTATCCTACTGGCCGAAAATTGGTCACGTGACGTTCAGTAATACGAAATAAAACGCCACTCAAATAAATTGTGACCTTGGAAAGAAACGCATAACGAAAGAAAAACGTCGTACTTTATTACTTTATAAAGTTAAAATTACTCACTAACTATTATTGAATAGAGATGTAACGGTCAATTAAATTCCCATGTGTATTTGAACTTTTAATTAAAGACATATCTCACAAGACCCAAGTTTTTCAGTTTATAGCTGAGACTGGAAAACGGCTAGCTGCCAAAAAGAACACATTTGACTAAAAATAATACAACGATAGCGTAACCTCATGACACGGTATCTTCACAACTAAATTTCGCTTGTCACACAGATCATTGGCCGTATAGCATCTATAATGTCAATTTGCAGAGCACATCGTGCAATCAAATTTGGATCAATTAAATCATCCCCAGGACGAACCAGCCAACCAAAAGACAACCAGGGACGGATCACTCCAAGTGCTTCAGTCGAATCACCGTGATCGCATTCTAATTGGCAATGCCAAACAACGTCGTCCAAATTTAGCCGCTGTGTTTAGCTTCATCACGTACCCATCTAATGGCATAAAACAGTGATGATAATCTCCAATCATTTTTCACTTTTTGTCGACGCTGTCTTTCTTCATAATTTCCCTCGCTAAATGGAGACGATGGGTTTCTTATTCGCGTGGGGGAGTTCCCGATTGCTTGATAAGAGACATGCAAGAGAGAGAGAGAGAGAGAGAGAGAGAAATAAACTAACCGATGCATTTTTATTTTGAGAAGGCGAAGTATAATCTGCAATTTCATTATACAAATTATGGCGTGGAATTTCCGCACGAAGCGTAATGGTAGATAAATTGTGTTTTCAGCTGCTACTTGTAGGCTCGCGAATATTGCCATTTCCGCCAAGTATATTTGTTTAATCTGACGGCCCATTTTTACGAGAAAATGAGCGAAAAATGAGGTCAGAGAAATCACTCCGAATTATGATTACATACGGAAATGAGATAAACTATTGCTCTTGAAAGATTTACTTCTAATTTCCATTAAGCAAATACAAATCTATAAGGGGAGAGGGAAGAAGTATCGTCGTTGTTAATGACCAATTCATATAGAGCGTTAACTTTCTTTAATGGATAGAGTGATGAGAAAGCCTATATGTTTAAGCAAACAAAATCCATGGATTGAAACGAAACGTGAAAGTGACAGGAGATGAAAAAAAAATGAGTTAAGATTATAAAAACTGGACTGCGTTATCATCCCATTGTCTACCCCCACCACCAGTTCTCGTGGTGTGGGTCTATTATCAGGATGGGAGGGGGTGGGGGGGGGGGGCGTATACAGATATTATTCAATGTGGGGTGCGGAATCCTCCAAAGAGCCGGGGAAGGGGTCACAATGTAAAGGATCGTGGGCTGTAGATCCGCTGCAAGTTGTAATTTTTTTTAAATCTAGAATTTCACAGGGGGAGCCCCAACTACAACCTATGTTGGATACGCCACTTAATACGTTCCAGGAATAAACCAGTGATAGACTCGATCAAAATATGAGAAGCTTGCAAACCAAATATGACAGATCTGTGATTCTCCAAAACATGACTCATAATGACCTAACAGATAAGGAATTCTTCGTATCATCATCGTGATCATAACTACTTTCTATTTCGATATTTTTTTCTTCCTTTATAAACAAGGGATTTCTACTTGTGATTTCACTTCTACAAATTGGTCCAAAAATCCCACCTGGTACTCAGGTACTCAAACTCATTCTTGCATTCATACGGAGACACTTCCTTAAAAGGCTTTTCTTGGCATGTTCCCCACTGTCAAGTTTAAAGGTGGACCACTAACTGCATTCAGGTAAAAGTGAGAGATTTATCACTCCGTTCTTTGTATGCTGTACACGCCCAAGGGGGTTTATTGTGACGCGCGCGTCAGCTCGACAAGTCGAAGTCCATTCAGTAAACGCATTTTTTTTTTTTTTAAAGCCTAACATATGTATAAATTGTCGTCTAGTTCAAAATTTATAGAGGGGGAGGGGTGGTGGGAGGGGGAGGGGCGTATAAGGTAAATCTCTAAAGGTTGTCGATTTAGCTCAGTGCCAAATGGCCATGATATGACTGAATTCCATTGGAAGTTTGTGTGAGGGGGACGCATTGCTTTTTCTGTATCTAATACCTGTACATTGACTCTCACGGAACAGATTACACCCTTAAACGGATAACCAACTAATAAAAGTAAAAAATTATCAATCTATAAATCGAAGGACAATAAGGTTTGGTGTCTTTCATTGAAAAAAATAATCTAATGAGGCAATCATGTAAATGTTTACTGGTATCAGGACTTGGGGTTCAGTAGTAACTTGGACATGAATCCTCACTGCGTTTGTAAACAAGAATGTATAAGATAAGAAAAAATATTGCAGCAGGCCCCCCCCCCCCAAAAAAAAAAAAAAATCCAAAAAAAACAAAAACAAAACACAACAACAACAAAAACAATAACAATGCAATAACGCAAATTTTAAAACCCCTCGTTCGCTTACACCAAATCTTTAATGATTTATCAAGTCTCAATGAGCTTTCGTCACTCGCAATGTTATTTGGTTATTTCCGTTGTTCAGCAAATAGCAAGCATGGACCTTCGGTGTTCAAAACTAAAATCGAGTTGAGAGCCCATAATACTTAATTCCCCCCGCTATACACCGATACAGAATAAACAAGAGCGTTAAAAGGTAACCAATAACTTAACGAGATTAAAATGAACGGAGGTGTTTAATTAAAAGGGTATCACCATTGGGCGGAAGCGAATAAAAATAATCGAGACTTGGTCATGTCGTAAATGTAACTCCCATTTTATTGGCGGATCAATTTAGGGGGTGCTTAGTTAGTGATTCATTTATAGGGGGTCGCGATATGGGGTGTTAAACCCCAATTGATTGGTATACCTGGGAGAATTAAGGGGGCGAAGATGAAAGAGACCGAATCCTAGTTTGACGCTTTTAGCTCCCATCGATTCGAGAGGGATAGAGAACACTTTGGATGTAGGAGTGTGAATTTAAAGAGGGGGCTGCTGCGTGGTCGATGATGTTCAATTAGGGCGAATGTTAAGGCTTTTAATGTATTCCGTTACGCACCTTTTCTGTTAATCAATCCATCAATCAATTAGAATTAAGCGGAGTATCCCGTGACGGTTAGTAACCCCTCCTATCATTCCTACGTGACAGGTGGTAGGGGGTCGTTGGATTCTACTTGTAGGATATTAATTAACCTTTGTTTTCGGTGATGGGTTTGAATCTTAATTGGGAATAATTGCAGTGATGCTTTGTTATAAAATTGTAATTGTCTGAATCTATGATTGTAATTTAGAGTAGACTGATGATGAAGTCTATACGGTAAAAAAAATGTTGAGTACAAATTGTCCAGACAGAGGATAATGATGTGTTCCATCAATTATTTGGAAATGACAGACCCAACTTGGAAGATTTGGGCTCAATTTATAATAAAATGTGATCATGATTTGGCCCAAGCAAGCTGGGCATAAACTTTAAACTTTATAAACTATAAACATGTTCTAATCTCTTTAAATATATACTTTGAAATTCTCATAATTTTGTCCTTCTTGGAAAATCTGGGGATGATCAATAAATGAAATTGTCCATGATGATGACACCGTTCGTTTTAAGAATACGGCTACTATCCGATGGTCATCCACGTAATTGTTCCTGTCATGTTTGTAAGAAGTAAATATTGAGATGTCATAAAACCCAATTACCACAAAGACAATCTCTGACATTGCTATTTGTTAAGCAGACAACATTAGCTAATTTTCTGACATTTAACGTTCGGCACATGAAAGAAAAAACTGATGTCTCGGGAAACATCAGGTGTGCCAAGATCGAGCCAAATTATCTTCCAATCACTGTTGCCTTTCCTAATTTCGCTGATGCCATAATTAGGTGCGACCATTAGCCTTATTTCTTCTGTCGTATCCGCGAGGCATTTAGCCGGTCTGGATATACGCCAAAAATGCAACAACTGCAGTAATGTGATTTGAGTTCAATTTGTATGACCCGAGTAAAGACGTATATAGTTGGGTGCAAGACATTACCCCCCTGCAGTAACTCGCCCCGTTTGACGATCTACCGAAGCAATTTCATAGCAATTCACAGACGATCTGCCCCAATCCTTTCTCGGTAATTATCTCTCAAGCACCGACGAAATTGGCGCTGAAGCTTAGCGTGAAGGCAAATTAATCTCCCGGAATTATGGTATTAATCTCAACCCTAAGATTTTCTTCTGTTCCCTGGTGACACGTACTTGTTTTGAATATTCTTCTTTTCTTCTTCAAACTCCGAAAGTCTCGGGTTGTCCGAACAGATACGGAGTCATGAAGCGCTTAGAGTTTGAAGAAGTATTGAGGTGGGGTTACACGCCCGATTCACTGCACAAGTCCCCCGCTGGTAGATCAGAATAAAGTCGGTAGAGAGCGGCCCCTTTGAACTATGTTATCTCCGTGGAAGGAGGGGTCGCTTACGACGTCCAATGGGCCGAGTAGACGCTAAAATTGGCGTGCTAAATACAAGCGCGGCAACGAAAAGCTAGACCAGGTGTTTGGTTCAAATGATATACTTTTTTCTTTCAAAACCCAAGACCAACACATTCTAAAAGTTACATTCTGGTGTAACGAATTATAAAAGAAGTGCAGCAGCCACAAAGGGCTACCGCCCCAGCTTAGTGCAGACATAGCAGTATGTTGCTTTAGTAATCGCTTCTTTTTTTTTGGTCTCAGTTGCGTAGGGATAAAGTTAGTTTTACGGTGTTAAAGGACGGCTTCATAGAAGCCC